TTCTATTTTTTTCTCTTCTTGAAGAGACACTGGACAGTTATTGCCTCAATAGTCATGTCTAAAAGGCTTTTACTACAATATAAACAATGGGGAGAAAGAACATATATCCAAGCCGATCACTTTAGTTTTCGTCTTTCTGGAAATGTACTTGAGATCAACAATGACAAATGGACCATAAGGAAGAGATTTCCTGAAATCTTACTTCTTTTTTTTCCACCCCCGGAGTTCTCAGGGGATACGTGACTGAGCCTGGGGGGAAACACAAGCAAAGACATTTCTAAAAACAAAACAAAGCCAATAGATTGAATGGGGAATTTCTAAATGCAGCAGAATTTAATGTGGCTAAATGAAATAAAATCTCTGTTCCCACAGCCTTTAATGCTGGAAAATCCCAACGCCAGCACCCTAGTAGCACTCAGAAGTGGCCCTGTGCAAATATCCAGAAATGGGCAGGAAAAATAGTGTGGGAATCTTGAAACAAATTTTTCCCCATAGGACCATGGCCTAATACCAGCAGTCATTCATAGAACTATGCCCTGTAATAATTACAACCAAGCAGCAAGCATCAGGTGAGGCAGCAAGTTCTTACAAAGGCAAATATACTGCCTTTTTTGAAACCACCTTTTTCTCACTTAGATTAATGAGAGGGGATCTGCAAAACATCATTACAGACCTCAGGTCAGACTTGCATAAAGAAGATAAACATTTGGTTGCTAATAAAAAGGGTTTTAACTGTGGGTTTTTACACTAAAACAAACAGAAGCAAAAGAAAAGGAAGCTACTGATAAAGAGGACCTTGAAAACAAGGGAAGCCACATTCGATTTATGAGAAGGGGCTGAAGGAGATAATGAGTCCAAAGCATTTTCTGGAATATACTGGAATAAAATGTGGATAATCCAACCAAAATAAAGGAACTGATTTTTAGGATTGAGGATCTATCTAAAGACAATGGAAAAATCAATAAATGGAGCAGAAGGGAATACAGGACACAGCACGGAACGGAGTAACGTGTAGAGCAAAAAGTGAGATTGGCAGGGAGGGCCACATGGGAATACAGGATGTAGAAGAATAGGGACTGAGGGTGAATATCAGGAGTAAGAGACTGAGATGAAAAATACAGGGAGCGGGTAAACGTTAAGAAGCGGTTTGTGAGACTTGAACCTATGGCAAAGTATCAAAGGACAATGTGTGGAGGAAGTAGACGGTCACCTAGGTGAGCAAAAAGAGATGGAAAAGTGAGGAGTCAGAGGAAAAAGCAGGAGATTGTTGGGGAAGAAGATGGAGAGAAGAGAAAGTGAAAATTCTTTTTGCTGGTAGCCTTATTGACAGGCCATGAACATATCAGTAGCATATCAGTTAGATGCCACTCATGCTTTTATATTCCAAAGTATTCATTATGGTTTAGCAGATTGATACTGATGGGTCATCATGAATTTGAAAATAGATCAGCCTTTTTGCATGCCATGGTACTTAAGCTCACAACAGTCATTATAATACAGGAGATATTTGCTAAAATGTAATAGGCATATCTATGGGTGGATCTAGAACTTTGAAAAGAGGGGAGCAAATGATGATATTATAGATTATTAGGGTCAGAAGGGACCTCAGAATATGATCGTGTTTGACCCTCTGCCCTGAGCAGGAAAGAGCGCTGGGGTCAGATGACCCCAGCCAGGTGTTTGTCCAGTCTCTTCTTAAAGACCTCCAGGGTAGGAGGTCTTTAAGCTGCCACCTCACTTGGAAGCTTATTCCAGATTCTGGTAACCCTTACCATAAAGAAGTTCTTCCTAATATCTAGTCTAAATCTGCCCTCTGTCAGTTTGTAGCCATTGTTCCTAGTTATTCCAAGAGGTGCCCTGGCAAACAGAGTATCTCCTATTCCTTGCTGCCCCCTCCCCATCACCATATCATCACAGACAAAACAACACATACAAAAATTAACGTATATAAAACAACACAGTTTAAAACAAATGAGAAGCTTTCCTAATATACTAGAGGTCTAGGGCTATATTCAGTTTAGGATTGAAGCAAAAATAAATATAACTTCACTGGAATGAGTTTAAACAATCTGCAGGGCTGTGAAATAGGAGTTTCATTGCTAAGAGCACCTAACAGTCACAAGAACTGCAGAACAAAGGATAGCTTTATTGATTGGTGGAGCATTAAAACCATTTTTAAAAACAGGATTGTTAATACCCATGGAATGAAAAAACTAGTTTAGAAGGGATTGACTCCCTAGAAATGCTACTGCCACTGCCAGGCAATCGTTTTTAAACTTTAAACATGTTTATAGCTTCATAGTTTCATAGTTAGTAGGGTCAGAAGGGACCTAAGCAGATCATCAAGTCCAACCCCCTGCCATAGGCATGAGTACTGGGGTCAAACAGCCCCGGCTAGGTGATTGTCTAGCCTCCTTTTAAAGACCCCCAAGATAGGAGCCAGCACCACTTCCCTTGGAAGTTGGTTCCAGATCGTAGCCGCCCTGACTGTGAAGTAGCGGCCCCTGATGTCTAGCCTGAATCTACTCTCAGTCAACTTATGGCCGTTATTCCTTTTTACTCTCGGTAGTGCTCGGGGGAACAGGGACTCTCCCATTGCCTGCTGGTCCCCCTTGGCAAGTTTATAGGTGGCCACCAGATCCCCTCTCAGCCTTCTCTTGTGGAGACTGAACAGGTTCAGGTCCTGTAGCCTCTCCTTGTAGGGCCTGCCCTGCTGCCCCCTGATCATGTGGGTGGCCCTCCTTGGACCTACTCGTGATGCATCTGTGGATGCATGACAAGGTGCAGTTAGCCTTCCTGACCGCATCCCCACATTGGTGGCCCATGTTCATCTTGGAATCAATAGTGACTCCAAGATCCTTTTCTGCCTCTGCGCTTATATGGTAGTCCATACTTTGGATTATAAATGGCATGAACTTAAGACTCCTGAGTCTTGCTGTGTTTTACGGCGGAAAAAGTAACCTCATACGTTCTTCCAAAATGGTTTTCAAACTGGACTTCAAAGTCTAATAACACAAAATCCTATCACGTGTTTTTTTTTCCGTTCTGTTCTTGCTCGTGGGATTCTTTGGTATCAACTTGACATTTGGAAGTTCTTGGAGTTTGCTTGTAGCAAGCTAAGGATCAAATGATGTCCTCATGACTTCTCATCATTGTGATTTCATTTTCAAAGATGATGATGAGAGTAAGACAAAGCTTTCTGCATCACTGAGCCGGCACTACTGTGATATACATGGCTTGCAGCAAGAGCCATTACTGTATTACAGTTTGTACCTGGATAAGCACCTTTCCCTGCATGCCAAGAAGATCTCAGCCATTTGAGTTAGGATGCTTACTACTTGAATTAGGATGCTCACTACTTTTGGTGTCTTTATAAGGAAAAAAAGGAATGATTTACCTGCAATTCTGGTTCTATTTTTACCTAAAAATATTCTCACTTACCTTCCTGTCCTTGAGATCTGAAGGGTATATGTTGGGAGCTTACATAGGTTTCAAGAGGTTTCTATGGGAATTCATTACCTACAGAAACTAAACACACAAACAAACAGAAGCCCCAATCAAACCTTTGTACTCACTATTTGAGGCATTTCTTTATATTACAATTGTATTTTCAGTTTTTTCATCTTTAGCTGTTCTCAGAAATGCTGATGCATTTTGTCAGCAGCACGGGACAAGTTTTTTCAAACATTGCAAAGATAAAAATAATGTCAGGAAGCAAATCTATTCCCTGCCATCCCACACATCAATAATTATTATGTAAAAGAACAGCAAAACTACAGTGTGTTTTTCTGCAGAAACATAGAGGACACAATCTTCAAGAACATCCAGGGCCTCCTGGAGACCTTGTTTAGCTGACATCTCCCATTTATTTTTCTGCACAATGCATGTAAACAATGTGTTTGTTCTTTATTGCACAAAACCCAGCACCCCCTGTAAAAAAAAAATAGGTAGGTAGGTAGGTAGATAGAGAAGATAGATTGCAAGGAATGTAGCCACTACAGACCTATTGCTTAAAAGAAATACAGAGAAGGGAGCCTTCTGTCTTCTGTCATCTGGTTTTTCCTTATGTGGAATTATGACAGATAGGCTCTAAACATAAGCCAATAGACAGCTCGGAGTGGTTTTGGACCTAGGAATATAGGGTGGCAAGGGTTTCTACAGGTTACAGGGTGCATTCCAATGAGCTCATTGCTGCTTACATGATTTGGAATAGAAGGTGTGACTGTTTTTATTGTGCTATCTTCCTTCATGATTTCCTGGTGCTGTAGCTTTCCAAGCCTGGGGCAGCAAAACTTTACACCAAAGAAAACTAAGATCTCATTAGTCTGACCATGCTTAGCTATATACACTGTTGTTTATACAATGTGTTCTGCCTCTGAGATGATATGAAGTCAAGATTTTGAGGAATTGGAAAACACTTAATTGTTCCAGTTATGATTTAGGCTGATTTCTAAGATTTCAGACAACTATAAAACACTTACATTCTGCAGAGCCATCTCCTTTTTATAATTGATCTAGATTAAAGATATTTTTAGAAGCTGTCTTTGACAACTGGGCCTTTCACCAGATACAATTCCCTAGAAGTCATCAATAAATATAGAATTGGTAGCAGTGAGGTAATGTTGGTGGGTTTTTGGAAATAGATTTGCAGTATATTTACCCAGAATTTTTAGGAGATGAGCTCAAACAGACTTACTTGCACTGACATTGCTAGATATTATCACTCCATCATGAAGTTGCTGAAGAACATATTTTCCATCTGTTTATGACATGAAGTCTAATCAAGCAAAGTAATCATGCACCTGTGTGAATAAATAGTCCCACTGAGCTCGGAATTTAATTTACGGAGGGAACCAAAAATGAAGTTAGGATGCCAGCCCATCTGAGGACCACACTAGTTTTGGGCAAAATGTGTGGCAATTTGATCAGGAATTAGTAATTTTTTCTTCCTCTTCTTTTTTTGTTTTGTTTTTGTTTTTGCTTATGTCTTCTTGTTTCAGATCCTACTTAGATATGTATAAAGTGATAATATTTAGTTACCTCTTCTGGTTTGTGCTTACTATAATCTTCATCACGGGTACTACAAGGATCAGCATATTCTGCATGGGTTACTTGGTGGCCTGTTTCTATTTCCTTCTCTTTGGTGGAGATCTATTATTGAAACCTATCAGAAGCATTCTGCGTTACTGGGACTGGCTGATTGCATATAATGTCTTTGTGATTACAATGAAAAACATTCTTTCGGTAAGTGGCTGCTTTTTTAGTTCAGTACTGAATGCTTTCGTGGTTTAACTGCAAGATCATGTAGTTCATTATTCACTCAGAAAAAGTACTTTCTTTTGTGCTAATGGCCTGAAAGATTTTATGTTCAATCCAGAAACTGAATTAAATCCAAAATTGACAATCCAAAACCGTCACGGTTTTCTTATAGGAAAATGTTTTACCTATTTTGCTCATCCCAGACGTCTCAAATTTCATGAGCCATGAAACAATTTTCAGAAAGGAAAATCCTAATATTTTTAAAGCAATTTCTTCTTTGAAGTCTGTGGAAGTTTTATTTGAGTATGGACTTGCAAGGTTAGATGTACAATGAATACATTGGGTAACTTTTTAAAGCTTTTAATCATAATCTCATTTTGGAGCCTAGTGCTAGAAGCAATCATTGTATACAACATGATGTAATCTGTGACATTAACAATGTGAAGGGTTATGCAAAAACTGTAGAGTAGCTTCTAGTTTGCTTTTCCTCCTGGTCTACCTTTCAGATGAAAGCTTCAACGTTTAATATTTTAAATATTCATTATTTAAATATTAGGCTTCTTTTTATGAATGTTAAACCTGAATTTTGGAACAGTTTCCTGCAACGCTTATTATGCTATCATGCTAAGAAAAAACAAATTATAAAATTTTATAATTGGTAAATTTATGTGTATTTTTGGCAATTGCTTCTTATCTTTGAACATTGTCACAACCAAATCAAAATGATCCATACATTTTGCTCTGTAAATTTATATATACCAGCGTATTGAAACAAAACTACTGTCTGTCTGCATTTAGGAATGCTATTAACATTTACTTACATACTTAATTTTATATACATGCATTCAGTGGGGATTATGTCTGTGTGTACAGTCACGTGTGTCTGTAACACCCTATCACCAATTTATAAAAGTTCGTTAACAATGAGTTTCTACCAAACTCAAGACATATGTTCTCAGCGAAAAGCAACAACAAAAATATGCAGTTAAATAGGAAAACATAAAGTTATTCTTTGTTTTATAATTGATGTATCTTACTGACAAATGCATCTTTTTTTAGTCTAGCTTTTGTTGTATTTTAACTCATAAATTTGACCATGAAATGTAAACAACAACTACACTTGTAACAAATAGGCTTATTAACATTTGTATCCTTTATTTCTGATCTTTATATATCAGTATTTTTCTTTGCTTTTTAGATAGGAGCATGTGGCTACATTCACGCATTAATCAACAATAGTTGCTGGTTGATTCAAGCATTTAGTCTGGCATGTACAGTTAAAGGTTACAAGATGCGTAAGTACAAGTAGCCATACTTCTACATGTTTTTCTGTAAAGAAAGATTAAACTCCTTAGAAAAATGCAGCCAATTCTATTTTTCCCATTATAGATTTGGTAGCTTAAAAATTAACTGCAGTCTGCAATTAGACTGGAATGATAGAATCCAGAAAATAGGGAGTAAAACTGAATGGTATCCATTATATATACTTTTTAAAATTATCATTTGCCAAAACGTAACATGCAGTCATATCTGAACTTACTACCGATTTCTTCTATCCATAGAACAGGAAATGTCTTTATTAATGGTTTGCAAGCATAATGTTCTATAAAGTAAGGTATTACTTTCTAGGAACTGTGCAATAAAGCTGTTATTTTCTGTTTCAAAAGTTATTTTCTGATCTAAAAAAGAATTATATTATTTGGGGAGGCGAAGGATATGCAAAGACACACATTCATCATATAAACTTCTGTATATTCATCCCATATTCCCTAAAACTTCTGAAAATCTGTATAGGACTTCCTCAGATTGCTCTGGGGAGGACCAACAAAATCAGTCTCAAACAAGGACAGATATTTTTATTCAGGAAAGCTTTTGTGGTTTCTAAATTTCTGTTGTGTACCAAAATTAATGTTTTAAAATTTCTCACAAATTGAAGTTCCCAAGGGAAAAGATGTTAATGATCATTGAAATAGTTTGTTTTTGAAAAACAAAATAATTCTAACTGCTTCATATACGTTTCATGTAAAATATGCTATATGTTACATATATTTCATACTATGAAATAAAACTGAAAAAGAAAGAAATTAAAATTTAGAAGCTTCCATTCCAAAACTATTGTAGCAGAGCATTTAAAACCATAAAAACCCAGTGTTTATTTCAGAAATAATTTTTGTGAAAGCAAGCACATTTTAATAGAATATATTTGATGAATGAGTATTTTCTGACTGAAAATCATACCGCTGAACAATTTCTGACTAGCTCTAAAAATTACAGTAACCTTCGAATTAATTTATATATTTCACTTTTCTTAGGACATAAGTTTCAAGACAAAAAGGCTATTAGATATTATTTTACTGGACTAATTAAATATAATGGGGGATGTTGACACATTGAAGACAATTGCCTTTATTCTGGTCTCTCTCTTTTTTTTTTTTTTTTGCAGCTGAAGATGATTCAAAATGTAAATTGCCTAGTGGTGAAGCAGGAATTATCTGGGACAGTATTTGCTTTGCTTTCCTGTTATTGCAAAGAAGAGTGTTCATGAGTTATTACTTCCTACATGTGGTTGCAGATATAAAAGCTTCACAGATCCTGGCATCAAGGTAACATTTGGTTTTAAAAAGCCCCCAAATCCTGCTTTGAGAGAGAGAGAGAGAGAGAGAGAGAGAGAGAGAGAGAGAGAGAGAGAGAGAGAGTGTGTGTGTGTGTGTGTGTGTGTGTGTGTTTGTTTACTCCATCCAGGCATACTGGGAGCAACTCAAGTCCACTGTCCAAGAAGACTGCGCCCAGATTACTGGGTTCACATCGCGACAGGACCAGGACTGGTTCAGCGCCAATGATGCTCAGATCCACAAGCGGAAGTGTGCACCCTTCATCTCCTGGCAAAGCCATCCACAAACTTGGTGAAAGACGGGCTGTGTACCACTAGCTGAAGGCTAAAGTTCAGTGATGCATCCATGACATGAAGAACATGTCTTCATGACTGGTGGGTGGAGAAGGCACGCATGATCCAGGGCTACGCTGACCAGCATGACATGCATAACTTCTTCCAGGCTACCAAGACAACCTATGGACCCCACTCCATTGGACAAAACCCCCTCCGATCACAGGACGGCTCCCGGCTCCTCAAGGACGATGACGCCATCCACCTGCATTGGAAGGAGTGTTTCAAACACCTCCTTAACTGGGAGTCCACTGTATCAGAGGAGACCCTCCAAGCCATCCCGCAACACCCTGTGGTGGATTCCCTTGGCGATCCACCAGCCATCAGAGACCTGAAGCAGGCCATCCAACAGATCAAAATCAATAAAGCCTGAGGACCAAATGGTATACCCACAGAAGTCTACCATGCTGGCGTCTTCTGGCTCACATCACAACTCCACCAGCTTATCCTTCGCCTTTGGGATGAAGAGGACAATCCCTGGGGATCTCAAGAACACGACCATCATGACCATCCACAAGACGGAGGACAAATCTGACTGTGGGAACTACAGGGGGATTTCCCTCCTGTCCATTGAGGGTAAGATCTTGGTCTGCATCCTCCTGAACTGCCTTCGTCCTGTCGCCAAGGAGATCCTTCTGGAAACCCAGTGTGGCTTCCAACCATTCCAGGGTACTGTGGACATGGTTTTTGTTGCCAGGCAGATCCAAGAAAAATGTTGGGAGCAAAATCAAGAACTGTTCCTCGCCTTCATTGACCTGACCAAGGCATTCAGTTCCTTAAATCATGAAGCTCTGTGGACCATCCTCCAATGCCTTAGCTGCCCACTGAAGTTTATCACCATGTGGGGGTTCTTGCATGATGATATGACTGCCACTGTCCTGAGTGGAGGGTCTGAAAATGACGCCTTCCACATTCAGACCAGGGCCAAACAAGGTTGCATGATCGCCCCCACCCTGTTCGCCATCTACCTGACCATCATCATCCACCTCATCTGAGATGCCATCCAGCATCAGTATCCAGTATTGACTGGACAGGAAGCTTTTCAATCTTGGGTGCTTCCAGGCAAAACCAAAACTCACCACCAAGGATATTCATGACCTTCAGTTTGTGGATGATTGCTACGTGATGGCTTACTCTGCACAGAATGTGCAAGCAACCTGAGATCTCTTCAAAACTTTGTGTAAGAGACTTGGCCTGTCCTTGAACATCGCCAAGATGAAGGTTCTCCACCAACCCTCCCCAGGCCAGCTGAACGTTCCTCACACTATCTACATAGATGGGGAGGCTCTGGAGTACGTGGAGCACTTTCCATATCTTAGCAGCCACCTCTCTCAACAGGCTACCATTGATGAGGAAGTCCAGCACCGGGTCAACCACCCCAGTGCCACCTTCTTCAAGCTGCAACAATGTGTCTTCAAAAATAGAGACCTTCAGAAATCGACAAAGGTCTTGGTTTACAAGGCTGTCATGCTGACCACCCTCTACTGCGGTGAAACTTGGACCATCTACTGATACCACAATAAGACCTTCGAAAGCTTTCACCAGTGGTGCTTCCATCAAATCCTGGGGATCAAATGGGAGGACTGCCTGACCAGTGTGAGCGTCCTCCATGAAGCTGCATCCACCAGCATCAAAGCTTTGCTCTTGAGAAATCAACTCCAATGGAGAGGCCACTGTGTCCAGATGTCTGAGAACCACCTGCCTTGCCAGATGACCTTTTCCTGTCAGCCAAAGGAAACAGTATAAAGACACACTCAAGGTCACCCTCAAGCACAGAGGCATCAACACCAATGGCTGGGAGGAGCAAGCTACTGACTGTTTAGTGTGGCGCCACCTCATCCACCAAGGCACACACCACTTCAAGGCCTAATGACTCAATACTGAAGCAGACCAGTGGCAGTGGAGGAAGGAGAAGGAGACTAACCTGGGGCTGTGAATGCCACTTCCTGGCACAGCAACATGCCTCCATTGCTGAAGAATATGTATATCCAGAATCAGGCTCCTCAGTCACCTGAGGACCTATCAAACCTGACAGATGTCATCCTTGACTCCGAGGGACTGCTGCTGATGTGTTTACTGATGCCAAAAAACCTAAGCTCCATATCTGTTAACATAAATGTGAATATTGCACAATTCATGTTATATTAAAATTGCATATTAAAACCCGGCCTGACACAGTTTACATGATAAAAACAAATTATCTGGACAAATAAATACAAAATTATACTCCATTATACTGCTAAATTTGTCCAAACTTTCCAATCACTTGACCAATCCTATACAGGGAGTCCTCAACTTACAACATTTCCAGTTACATTTTGCACTTACAACATTTATAAATTGACACCCTGTTTCAACTTTGCGACATCAGTTTCAAATTTACAATGCTTGATCCGATGCAACACCACACCAGCGAACAAAGTTTGCTGCGTTGCCCATCTCCCTGGAGAACATCTGTCCAAACTTTCTTGGACACTTTCTTTAAAAAAGCAGACAAGACTCCAGAAAAACCTGCAGCCAATACTCCTGAGAAGAGCCCTTCAAAAAGTCCAGCAAAGTCACCTCAGAGAAGTCCTTCCAAAATCAATATGATTGCTATTTACAATATAAATACTTTAATGTAGCTATGTTACTCATCTATAATTGATTGAGTACAAAATTCTGGGTTATTTTTTGGTGAA